CTAAGAAGTTTTGAAAATGAGGAGTTCATATAGGAGAGCTTGCTCAAATTCCAGAGTTGACATCTATCACAGAGTGAATGGTTCGTAATCAGAAGGATATGAAGCTCGAGATTTGGAGTCATCTAGATACAATTGGTGCCTTTTGTCTTTGCTTCATTCCCATTCCACGTCAATGAGCAAAAAGTGGCAACTGTCATCACCCATTTTATTTGGGTATGACGTGTCATTTTACATACTATATAGTATACTATATAATACAATGGGCTTTAGTATGTAGATTTTTTTTAAAAAATATTTAAAAACTAAGATGTTTGGCATATAGTATATAGTACATATATATTATATAGTTTTCATATTAAAAGCTTTTTTTATATAATGGACATATTATATAATTCCATGTTACAATTGTTTTCCATATTATAATTGTGTCGTTAATATATGTTATATTAGAAATTTAGTATGCATGTTATGTTTTCATATACTTGTTATAAAGTTTTCATATTATATAGCTAGTTCATATTAAATACAAGCCCATTTTGTTTTTCTTTTATAAATAATACAAACAATCCAAAAAGAAGTCCATTTTATTAAGTAAATGAGTCTATTACATCCTTTTTTTCAAGGCCCTTTTTTAGTCCATGCATATATACATATTTAATAATAAAAAACCCCTAAACCCTTCAGCTTTGCCACTGATTTTTTGGGTTATTGGTGGAGGATATTTTGCTTGAAATTCAATAAGAGACAAGGAATTGATTAGGTTGTTGCTTTTGAGGAGGTGACATCATCAATCCATGTGATAAAAGCACATATAAATCTCACCCTTTGATAAGACTTCATCCAAGGGCCATTATTCAATGAATCCATGCCAATTGAACACAACTAAATGGACCCTTGATTGAAAGTTTGATCCAAGGGCTTAGAGCTTGCACGTCACCCATCCAAGTGAAGAAACACAAATACATCTCAATCATTGGATCTAGATTTGATCTAATTCCTAAGATCAAGTCTCCTGACCACCTCCAGTAATGCTTCCCATCGTCACTGGCAGATCACGAGCGCGTGAGTCACACGCGCCAGACTTTTCATCTTCTCTAGTTCACCGTTTCCGTCGTCGGTCACGTTCGTACATAAGAAAAATCACAAAAAAATGCAAATAAAAAAGAAATGAAAAAAAATGTTCTAGCCTTTCATCTTAAATAAAATTGTTGGAGAAATGATTTTATTTAACCGATTTTGAGTGGGAGTGAACAAATCAAGAGCCAAAGATCATCGATATAAGAGGTGCTCATCATTAGCATTAATCACCAATCAAGAATCATCAACAAAGAATACTCAATCACCATCATCATATTACTCAAAAATCACAGAGGGAATACGAAGGGAAAAGAAGCTTACCGTCTTTAGAGGAACTCATCACCACCGTTGAAGGCTCGGTCGAAGTTCTTGAAGATGAGGCCCCTATTTTATTTTTCCTTTTTTGGGTTTGAAAGCTCTGTTTATGGTGGCTAAAAACCTTGATGGCCGGTGGAGAAAGGTTCAATTAGCGTCAGAGTTGTGGTAGTAGCCGAAATACGATTTTGGTATCAGATTACTAGTTTAGGTTGAGTGAAATTTGGGAAAAATCCTATTGGATTTTGGGATTTAGATTTAGGTTTGGGGGTAGATGGAAGAACATTAGGTTTGTTCTTGGAAATGTTCTTTGGTTTTGGGTGTTTTGATTAAAAAAATAACAAGTTTTGGAGTGTTTTTGGTGTTTATGGAGGATTAAAGTTTGGTTTTTGAGAAGAATATGTTTGTATTATTAAGGAAATTTTGTGTTTTGATCCAATAATAACACGTAGGGAAGTGTTTTTCGAGGATCAAATGGGTTTTTAGGATGAACATGAGATGAACAATGATGAATATTTAAGAAATTTGGAGAAAATGGAGGTGGGTGGAAGACCATGGTTGAGAGAGTTTGGGAGAGAGAACATTTGAGACAAAAAATGAGAAATGTCCTATAATTTTATCTTTTATACTAGATAAATACTTGGGGAAATTGGCTCATTAATTGTCCATATTTTTAGCGTATTTTGGTTATTGGTCATGGCTTTTGCTTTATTTTATTTTGGTCACTAAATGCTTGTACACTGTTCCCCAAATTTTGATTGAGTTCAATTTAATCTCTGATCACTTCAATTGCTTTCATTAGTTTATTAAATAAGTTTAATTATTAATAATGAATGTTAATTTTTAATTCTTTCAATATAGTCACACATTTAAACCTATATTAAAGCCTTTAGATTTTTAAATCTCTTAAATTAATAATTAATATTAAAATTAAACTTTAGCTTTTTAATTAACCTTGGATGTTAAATTATTTAGTTTTAGTAACTAATTATTAAAGTCTTAATTTTAGTTTCTTTAACTAGAAATTAATTAGGTTTAGAGATGTCCTTTTAGGATTAAAATAAAATGTATGTTTATTTTTAGATATTAAAATGGATGGCCTTAAAGTAACTAGACATCCCTTTTTGAATATTTTTAAATAAATTGACATTCTACCTGTGGTCACCAAAAATAAAATTGGTTCATATTAATTTAAAATAAAAAAGAGTAAAGGTTTGTTCCTACGTTTAAATTGCTAAGGGCACGTTGTTTGATTAACGTTAAAGGCTTGGACTTGGTTCTTTAAATGAAAGAACATCCTTATTCCTTTTAATAATAATTTGACTAACTTGTCACCTTAATTTTTCTTTTTAGGATTTAATAATTGGTTAATTTTCTTAATATTTTAAGGAATGACAATATTTCATTTTTAAATTAAAACATAAGAAATAATTGCCTTAATTCCAATTAGGGGGTTAGTTTATTCTTTAATTGGAAATAGACAAATATTGTGTGTGTCTCTTAAAAATCTCTTAATTAGGTTAAAATGTTTTATTTAGGGAATAAAAGGATCACAAATTAAATAAATATTTGAACTTTTATATTTTTAATATAGGAGAAAATAACTTCAATGACCGAAAATGCCTTATAATATACGATTTTAACAAACTTTTTTTGGATTTGCGAAAATGACCAACAAATTCACAACGCGAACTCCAATTTCGCAACACAGGTTCCAAAATCGCAACGCGAATATGTAAATTGCAACGATAATAGGTAAATCGCAACGCGATTTTCAAATTTGCAACGATAATTACCGATATAGGTAAACAGTACTATCGCAATGCGATTTTCAAATTCGCAACACGATATTCAAATTCGTAACGCTAATTACAGATATAGGTAAACAGTACTATCGCAATGCGATTTTCAAATTCGTAACGCGATTTTCAAATTCGCAACGCTAATTACCGATATAGGTAAACAATACTATCGCAATGTGATTTTCAAATTCGCAACGCGATTTTCAAATTCGAAACTTTAGTTATCGATATAGGTAAACAGTACTAAAATTCGCGTTGCGATTTACATATTCAGGTTGCGTATTTGGAAACTGTGTTGCGAAATTGGAGTTTGCGTTGCGAATTTGTTGGTCATTTTCGCAAATCCAAAAAAATTGGTTAAAAGCGTATATTATAAGACATTTTCGGTCACTGAAGTTATTTTCTCTTAATATAGGGACTAATTCGTAATTGAAGGTACCAATTTGGGCGCTATGGGGGTGTTAATCCTTCCCCAAGCGTAATCGACTCCCAAACCCATAATCTCTAAGATCGCATACCAAATTACATCTTTTTAAAGTTTTTATTTAAAATTCTTTAAAATGGTGTTTTCTCCAGTTTTTGACATTCATAATCCAAAAGGTTGATGGTGACTCCAAACATTTCCAAGTCTTTTCTAAAAATTAATTTTTTAATTTCGACATCTAATTCATTCCATATATCTGTTTCGAAAAAAGTCATCATAACACTGATCATTGACGGTTATGTGTTATTGAAGTATGTTTCTGATGATCTTCTCCCTCTAGGTCAGTTTATCCCTTCCAGTGACGGTGTGATAGTTAATAATCCTCATTTTCTTATTCATCGTCAATAAGAAAAGTTGCTTGCCTCTTGGCTACTTTCAACAGTTTCATCGGAGATTCTTCATCATCTCATTGGGCTTACAACCGCTGGTGATATTTGGAAGGTGGTTTCTATACTGTTTGGCACTTATTCGAGTGCAAAGGTATCTGCTCTTTGCCATTCTCTCCACTCTCAAAAGAAGCGTGAACTATCAGTTAGTGAGTTTCTAGCCAAGATCAACCTTATTTGTGATACTTTGTTTGTTGTTAGGACTATTGTCTCTGAGAGAGAACATATCAGTATTATTATTGTCGGTTTTCTCATAGAATTCAAATATGTTATTACTATTGCTTTAAGAGAAGAGGTTTCGTTGGCTACCTTGACCGATATGCTTTCTGATTGTGAAGCTCAACATTTGGAGTTCATCAATGACAATTTGCTAATTCAAGCAAATGTAGCTTCTCATGATTCTTCTCGAGACTCAGAGAAGAATCCCGCTGATGTTTTTTTTCCTGAGAGGTTCAAAATACTTTGTTGAGTGGTCGTAGTGGTGGTCGTTTCTGAGGTCGCGGGTGTTTCAATAACAGACCTCAATACTAGTTATGTGGAAAGTTTAGTCATCTGGTTTAGAAGTGCTACTATAGTTTTGATCAGGGTTTCAAGTCGCGGTCGTGCTTTCGTTCATTTCAAGTTTACCGTGATTGTGGTCGTCGCGAGCGTTATTGCGCGTGTAGCGAGTAACTCGGACGGCGGTAAAATCGATATTTCGTAGGCGCTATCACATTTTCGGACTGTAATTTGAAACCCAGATTTTGATCATACTTTCTAGGGAAGCTCGTCAGGAGAGTCTCGGGATTCTTGTTATCGAAATTTTGGACAGTAGGCTCAGTCCATGGTGGCTCAGTCTCAAGCTACTCCAGCCCAAGCGTTGACCAATTTCTTTAATCAGTCTAGTGGCCCTGGTGTGTTAGGCAGTTTTGAGCTTCCAATGGCTCAAACCTTTTCTCAAAACCCTAACTCATTCATATATCCTAAACTTTTACAATGTGTTCATTAGGGGTGGCTTAGTGGAGCTTGTGTTGTTTCCTCTCCTCATGGTGTCGCTTCGGTTGAAGTGTCGTTCTTTAATAATTATCTGTGAAACTGAATTGTTGGTTTTAATGTTTTTTTGCCCAACGATGCTACTTATACGGCATATGAGGGTTATATTTTTCCTTCGTCCTCTTCTGTTTCTGTCTTTTCGTCTTCGTCTTCCTTGTTTATTTCACATCAGCCTTCCACTTCCTATTTTCCTAGTGTTTTTAATTCGGCCATGGAAAGGATGTTAGCTAGTATCCAGATTCCGGTGCCACGCATCACATAACCAACAATCAGTCATATTTTTAGTCTGAATCGACTTATAGAAGTAAATTCACTTCTTATGGGTAGTGGTGAGGAAGTGTCGATTACTTATGTTGGTTGTGGTAAGTTGCTCACTGAGTCTAGGGTTTTACGGTTGGAAAATATTATTTTTGTTCCTTCTATCAAAGAGAAGTTGCTTTCTATTTCTCAATTAACTTGTGACAATAACGTGTTTTTTGAGTTTCATTCTTCTGAGTGCCTTGTGAAGGATTCCCAGACTCAAGCTATGTTGATTCGAGGGAAACGTACCTGTAACGGGCTGTATAAGTTTCAGTCTTCTGTTGATACTTGTTGTGTGCAGAGTAATTCTATTTCCAAAACCCAAGGGTCCTTGATGTTGTGGCATCAACGTCTTGGTCACCCGTCCCTTGGCGTTCTTTAGTCTGCTCTTGATTCTTGTAGCATTTTTATCAGTGATAATAAGATGCCTACTGTTTGTGTTTCTTATTTATAGGGCAAAGTGCACAAGTTACCTTTTGCTTTATCTGATATTGTATATACATCTCCATTTTAAGTTGGTTGTATATGATGTTTGGGGACCTGCACCTGTAGTTTCTGACAGTTTTTGTTATTACATAAGTTTCATTGATGTTTTCAGTAGGCATACATGGCCGTATTTGTTGAAACGAAAATCTGACATGTTTAATTATTTTGTTAATTTTTATAAGCTTGTTGAGGTTCATTTTGTTTGTCAGATCAAAGCATTACAAACCGATGGTGGTGGTGAGTTTCAGAAGCTACATCGCTGGTTGGGTGAACATGGAGTCCAGCATCAGGTGTGTTGTGCTCATACATCTGAGCATAATGGCAGGGCTGAGCGTAAGCATTGATACATTATTGAGATGGGTCTCACTTTGCTTGCTCAGGCATCCGTATCGATCAAATTCTAGAGTCATGCCTTTGTCATGGATATTTTTCTGATCAATTGTCTTCCTGCCAAGGTTCTACAAAATAAGTCTCTGATTGAGATTTTGTATTGCAAAAAACTTGATTATTCATTTTTAAAGGTCTTTGGTTGTGCGTATTATCCTCTTTTGTGTCCTTATAATCAACATAAATTGGATTTCTGTTCCATGCAATGTGTTTTTCTCGTGTATAGTATGTCACACGAAGGTTTTAAATGTCTTGATGGCAATGGTCGTATTTTTTATTTCCAGACATGTGGTTTTTGATGAGTCTGTTTTCCCTAGTGTATGAAATATTCGCGCTATTAAAGTAGCTGGTGAAGGAACCTCTGTAGTTGTTCATTTAGGAATTGTTTCTTCTATGGATGGTTTCTTTGTAGGAAGACTGAACGTTGTTCTTGATGAGCGTATTACTAGTTATCTTGAGGATTTGCCTGGTACCTCTGAAGATTTTCCTATTGATACCTTATTTCAGTGTGTGGATAGCTTACATGGTGTTGATCTTCCTCTTGAGGGGCTTGTTGATAATGTTTCTAATGATCTTAGGGGTGCCCCTGATATGGGTGCAGTTGATGGGGCTCCTCTGGGTGATCTTTGTGTTGTTGATGACACTACTCATGTTGTTGCAACTATGGGTGTTACCGATATTTTACTTGACCCAACAGATTTTGTTTTTGTTACAGGACCTGGTAGCTTGACTGATGTTTCTCCTGTTTGTAGTCATCCTATGGTCTCTCGGAGAAAAAATGGATCAGAAAGCCTAAGGTTTATTTTACTCAGCGTCTTGGTTGTGATGCTGAGCCAAATACAATTGAGGAAGCATTTCATAGTCCTCAATGGAAGGAAGCTGCTCAGGTAGAGTATGATACTCTTATTCGCAATAACACTTGGTCTTTGGTTGATTTGCCTTCTCATCGTAAGGCAGCTGGTTGTAAATGGATTTTTAAGTTGAAAAGGAATGTTAATGGCTTTATTACTCTACACAAGGCTTGTCTTGTGGCTAAAGGTTATCTTCAACAGGCTGGTTATGACTATCATGAGACTTTTACTCCTGTGGTTAAACCAGCGACTGTAAATGCTATTTTGTCCATAACAGTTTCGAGGCAGTGGAGGCTTCATCAGATAGATATTAATAATGCATTTCTAAATGGTGAGCTAGCTAAAGAAGTTTATATATCTCAACCTCCTAGGTTTGAGGTTGATGAAAAGAGGATAGTGGGTTGCAAACTAAATAAGGGTATTTATGAACTTAAACAAGCACCTTTGGCATGGTTTGAAAAAATATGAGATTATATTTTGTCTGTTAGTTTTGTTTTATCAAAATCTTATGCTTCTTTATTTGTCAGGAAACAGGGGTCTCGTTCGGTTTATCTCTTTGTTTATGTGGATGATATTATCGTCATAGGTAGTTCTGTTGTAGAAGTTGAGTAGGTTATCACTGACTTCAATAAAACTTTTTTTCATTAAAAGACCTTGGTCGACTGAATTATTTTTTTAGGAATTCAGGTCACTTATTGTAGGGATTGTGTTTTTTTTAAAATCAACAGAAGTATATTGAGGAATTCTTGTACAGGAGTTGTCTTGATAGTGCTAAAATCTTGCCCAGTCCTATGGTGCCAAGCTGTAAGCTTTCTGCATCTCAAGGGTCCCCTGTCTTTAATTCCATAGATTATCGCAGCATTGTGGGAGCTTTATAATATGTTATAAATACTAGGACTAATATTGCTTTTGCTATTAATCGAGTTTGTCAGTTTTCACAGACAGCTCTGGATGAACACTTTGTTGTTGTAAAATGAATTTTACGGTATATTCAAGGGACTTTGGATTATGGTTTGAATTTTACTAATTCTCTTTCTCGGTTGTCCATCAAAGGCTTTGCTGATGCTAATTGGGGTTCGGATATTGGTGATAGACAATCAACATCAAGTTTTTGTATTTTTCTAGGAACTAATCTTATCTCTTTGACCATCTTGAAAGCAACAAGTTATCTCCAGGACTACTACTGAGGTTGAATATCAAAGTGTGGCTTGTGTTGTTACTGAAGTTATTTGGCTTGAGTCATTGTTAAAAGAGTTGTATGCGCCAGTCTGGAAAGTCTGTCATGTGGTATGACAATTTGAGTGTTGTGGCAGTCTCTGCTAATCATGTGATGCATTCTAAGTTCAAACAGTTGAGATGGATTTATTTTTTGTTCGGGAACGTGTTGCATCTGGTCAGCTTCTTGTTAATGAGGTTCAAGCTTATGAGCAAATTGTTGATGTGTTGAATAAACCCTTGTTTGCTGTGTTTTTTAATCGACTTTGAACCAAATTAAGGGTTCTTCCATTTCCTTCTACTCATGTTCGTGATACTAGCAGGTATGATTGATGTGCTTTTTCTTTGTTTTCTATTGTTTTTCTGTTCGTTTGCATGTTGTTCTTCGAGAATCAGGAAAGTTTACAAGAGTTTAGATAGTAGGGTGAATGCGATAAGTATAGGTTTACTTTGTGTAGCGCTACTGCTGTGCTTCACCGGTATTTGGTTATACAGTTGTTGTATTTGGTTTCGGTTGTTATATCTCTCTAGAATCAATCCATAGCCTTCTCTCGTATAAATTCACCTGGTTCTCTTGGAGAATATTACAGGTTTTCATTAATAAAGATTAAGGAGAGTGCCATCTCTCTTTCCTTTTTCTGGCATGATCTACCTATAATTTATTGACACTCTCCTAAGGGTCGATCAATAAAATCTCAATACTAAAACTATACAATGACATTAAAAAATAATACTTCTTGGGGTTCTAATCTACTTTGAGAGATTACTCAATTGTTTTATACAATGACTAGGGTTGTAAATGAGACGAGATAGATCGCGAGCTACACGAGATCGACTCGATCAAGGCTCGATAAATACTCGGATCGAATGGACTCGACTCGAGCTTGAGCTTGACTCAAGTTCGAGCTCGGCTCGAGTTCTTAACGAGCCGAAACGAGCTACTCGATATTCAACTCGAAAAGCTCGTGAGCAGCTCGAAAATATAATATATTAAAATTTTATTTTTTAAAAATATAAATTATTAATAATATTAATATTTATGTATTGATTTTTTTAAAATATAGTAAGATTTTCATGTATTTAAGGTTCATGTTTGAGTTTAAGTTTGAGGTTTTAATCGCGTTAAGTTTAAGAATTTTTTTTCAATTTCGAGCATTTTCGAGTTACTTACGAGCTTCATTTCAAGATTTCGAGTTCGAGTGGAGCTTGAAAATTTTAAGCTCGTGAGTTTTCGAGTCCAGCCAAGCTCCATTTCAGAGTTTTCGAGTCGAGTCAAGCTCAGCAATACTCAAGCTCGACTCGGCTCGGTAACACCCCTATCAATGTGTTGAGTTAATCGATCGACAAAATAGGCCAAGAGGGGGGTGAATTGGTAATAAAAATTTCGGTGGAAGTTTTTGCAGAAAATTGAAAATATTTGCACAACAATTTAGAGTAGTTCGACTTTCTCAACCAAAGTCTACGTCCACTACCTTAACTATCAACACTAAGGATTTTCCATAAATTCACTAATTTGTCTTTCTTTTGAGGAAAAAGAGTAACTTTACAAATCCCTCAAGAATTATACCCCAAATTCTTTAGAACACTCTCTCCCAAAGAGAACAATATAAATTTTACAAACTTACAAGAAAATCCTCACAAGGAAAGATGTTTGCACAATTCTAGAACAAAGAAAGAATACTCAAGAATAATACAATTGAGCACAATAAGTGTTCTTGAAAGCAATGATGAATATTGAATGAAATTTGGCTTGAAATTGCTCAAACTTGAGGTTTGATGCTTTCTCTTTGAGTCTCTCTTGATTCGTGTTTCTTGTTGTTGATCAATGGCTTTTAAGATTTTTTAAATACTCTTTCAATTGATTATGAATGTTGGGGATGATTAGTGGAGTCAATGGAGCCGTTTAAGTGTGAAAACAATTAATAAAACTGCTTGGAGCGTGGGGGGAATCGGTACCCCCTCATAGGGTATCGGTTCCTGCAGTGTAAAATTCAAATATTTCGACCGTTAAACAGGGGGAATCGGTACCCTCCGAGTATTCTGTTATTTCTCGAAGCCAAACCATTCAGGGGAAATCGATACCCTTGGGGGGAATAAGTTCCCTCTGGGCAATCTGCTCATTTTGGTTTGATTTTAATTAAAAAATGATTTTGACTCGATTAAGGCTCGAAATATTTTGTAAATTTGTTTAACATATTTTTACACTTTAGTAAGGATTAAAATAAACTTTGAAAGACTTGGAGTAATATTTTGATATTCGAATAATTACATCGAATATACTTAGAAAATCTTTTGTAAAATCTTAAAATTCATTTAACTTAATTTGTTATATCGAAACATCAAAATGTTTTCAACAATCTTCTTCTTTTTTATATAACAAAACATTTTAGTAATTTTAAGATTTTCTAATTGAAAATAAATTTTGAAATCAAGTTTTGAAATTATTTCCCCTTACTTTAACATTTCTCCCCCTTTTTGTTAAATCAAAAAGACTCTAAAACGTTTTTAAAGAAGGTTTTGAAAACTTAAGCCAATTGATAGATTAAGATAAAGCGTAAGCTGCTAAGATCACAATCAAGAGAAATGTTAGCCATTAGTTTCATAATCCAATATTCATAAACAATGTGAAATAGCAAAAATTGGTCATAATGCAACTAATATGTAAATGATGCAAAAATAAACATTAAGCTCAAAATGAAAGTTAAAACCAAACCAAATATATAAGCATGTAAGTTCAAATATCCAATCATCCAACAAATTCAAACATCCAAAATAAAATAATCCATGAACATCAAAATGTTTCACAATACAAAGTTATGAGTTCGAGGTTCAGTTCAAGCAAACTAAAGCAAGATAGGTCTAGTCGTCCATAGGATGATTGAGAGGAGTAGGAAAATATGCTCGCACTTCAAGTGTGAGACCCTAAGACCAAATTTGATAAACAAATTTACTAACCATAAACCAAGATTTCTATATTCTTGGAAGGAACAATGTTTATAAAAACTCACTAAAGATGATATGTGGCATATTAATCTTCTTATTATGTTGGATACAGTATATCCACCATATATATATGTTTCTAAGGGAGGAGTACCTACCTCCGGATAGTCTAAACCACCAAGAGATCATATAATGAAGGAATCTATCACGATGAGTTCTTAGGGTACTCTCACTATCCTTAGACTTATAGGGTGAATCCACAGTCTCTTTTTCATTAAACTTGAGTTATCTAGTCCAAAATGGATAGCGATTGTGTCGAAGTCAATAAAAATGAATTGTCCTGAAAAATAGGATTGAATTCCTATAGTTTTGGATCGGCGCTCGTTTTGGACACATACCACATTGGAATAGAAAAATGAAAACTAATTGATGATAAACCAAAGGTTTGAGTTTAAAGAGTTTATCAAACTTCTAGGATTTAAGAGTAGGAAGATATTGGAAGTCCATATCTTCCATAGCTTGGATCGCAAGGATACGCTCTTCCCGGATTTTGTATGACTTAAAACAAGTATATTACCTATGGTATAGATCTTGTCTACGACCAGGTATGTTGAAACAAGAGTTCAGAATGGTCACATTTGGGTCATTTGGATTAGGAGGAGGAATAAGATGTTGATTTTAACTTGAGCAACTAGACGATGCCCTAGGTCGTTTAGGATTTGACATAGTTTAAGAATCGGAATAGAATATGTAACATGCAAATTTAAACACATGTATGCAATATAATCAAACCAAAAACTCAAATGAGTCCTCAATATTTCAAGGTTCTCTAAATTGAATCCTAAAGGGCAATGTTTTGAAAAACTATTTGGAAAATAATGTTTGAAAATCATAATATGTATAGTTTTTTAAGAAAACAACATAATTGAATCAAAAACATTAATTAAAATGAAAATTTTTGAATTTTTTATTTTTGAAATTTAAAGATAATTTTGAAAAAATGAGTATTTTTGGAAAATATTTGTTGTAAAATCATCATATAACCAATGCCCGATGTAATGTTCATCTTAGAACTAATCAAAACTAGTCCTAAGTTCAAAAATCAAGGAAATAGAGGATTTTGAAATATTACCTTGAAAATTTGGATTTTATGAGAATGTGATATTGTTTGCAAGGATTTAATGATGTTAGTAGGATCAGAAGTTGAAGACCGATCTAATATCGACTTGTATTTGATAGTTTTGGCAAAAGTGGAGATTTAGAAAGAAAGAGAGGAGAAATGACATGTAAGAGAGAAGAGAGGGTTTTGAGAGAAAGGGTTCTTCTGGGCGTTTAATATCCAGAACCCGATGGGGGTATCGATTCCCTAAAGGTGGAAATCGGTTCTCATCCAAAGGGGGAATCGATTCCCCTTCAAAGGGGGTATCGATTCCTCCTGCACTAAAATTTCAAAAATCTGTGCTAAACACTCAAAATGCTAAATTAAATAGCTCTAGTGGTATTGGCACCTCATATATTGAAAATTAATCATGTTCAATCAATCAATTTTATCCTTAAACAATATTTGAACATATAATTAATTCTCACCAAAAATCATAAACTCCCCCTAACAAATAGCAAAGAATGCAATCAAAAGTGTTATTTTTTTAAGCATTTTCAAAACTAATTTAAAGTGCTAAACTTATTTTAAACACTAAGTCAAGGTAGGTTGGTCAAGCCTAATTATCTCCTAAATGTCCAAAACCTTTCCTTATCTAAAGGTTTTATAGAGATATCAGCTAATTGGTGCAAAGTATTAACAAATTCTAGACCTACATCTTTCTTAGTGACATGGTCTCTAATGAAATGATGTCTTATTTCAATGTGCTTAGTTCTAGAGTGTTGGATGAGATTTTTAGTGAGACAAATAGCACTGGTATTGCCACACTTGATAAGAATGATACCTACTTCAATTTAATAATCAAAAAGTTATTGTTTCATCCATAAAACTTGTGCAGAACAACTACCGGCTGAAATGTATTCCGCTTCAGTGGTAGATAATGCAACACAATTTTGTTTCTTTGAAAACCAATAAATCAACATATTTTCAAGGAATTGGCAAGTACCGGAGGTGATTTTCCTATCTAATTTGCATCCTCCATAATCCGCATCAGAGAAGGCATGCAAGATAAAGCTAGAGTCTCTATGATACTAAATTCCTGAACTAGGAGTGTCCTTAAGGTATCTTAAGATTCTCTTAACAGCTAGTAAATGTGATTCCTTAGGACATGATTGAAATCTAGCACATAAGCAAACACTAAACATAATGTTCGATCTACTTGCGGTTAGATAAAACAAAGAGACAATCATTGACCTATACAATTTAACATCCACACATTTACCTCCTTCATCTTTGTCAAGCTTTGTTGATGAGCTCATTGGAGTGGCATGAGGCTTCCTGTTTTCTATTCCAAACTTCTTGAGCATATCTTTGATGT